AGAGGTGCAATACAGCTGGGTGAAGAGAAGTGCTAACTCAATGGCTGATGGGTTAGCTAAGCAAGGGGTGGCTAAGGATTCTTTGTTTTGGGCACATTTTTAGTATTTTGTTGTCATTTTGATGTTGGGGAGTTAAGATATTTTACCTCCTCATTTTCTGTAATTAATTTTCACAAGTATTATTCATTAATAAAGATTTCTCTTACCAATCAAAAAAAAAAAGAAAACTTAATCAGTCCTAATTCCTAAAATGTTTAACCAATGATTACGAAATTCCAAAAAAAAGAAACTAGACATATCAAAAATATTTGGCTAGACCACACATGCAACATATAAGATAACCAAAATACCCCTAAAACAAAAACACATTAAAATAAGTTTCCATATGTGGCCACTTTTTTAATGAACTAAACCCCCAGCACTTTTTAAGGTGGGGGATTATGGTCTTATAACTGACTAAACAAAGGTAACTACAAAATGTTGTAAAATCCTCCATTTTAGGACTCCAAATTGTCCTCAACTTTAGGATCTAGCTTAACATGTGTGGAGGTGAGGAGATAGTGAGTTCTGCATGGTCCCATTGTAGTGATACTTATTCTCAACAGTTGCCTTTTTTGGGCAACCTGGGCAATCCAGTATTGGAAGCTCTTTCAGAGACAGTAAATGAAGCAATCTTATGGGTGTTGTCAGCCCCATAGATGTTGATGACTGCAGGAATTCACACTTCTCCAAGGTCTATGGTTCTCTTGGACTACATAAAAGAGAGAGGTGCTTGGATTGTTCCCTAGAGTGAATCTCATTCTTGTAGATCCCTATCTCCCCACCAACTTAGTTGACTCCTTGGCTAAAAGGGAGAAGCTTTAAATTCCATAATATTTATGATTTGTTATACGTTCTATTATTGTTGCATTTGTTATTCTCTAGGTTTGGATCTCCGGTCTCCCTAGCACTTTATCTCTTTTTCTATTCATTACAAATTTTCTTTATTGTTTGTCATTGAAAACAATGAAACTACACAAATTACTTGAGACAAAATGCCAATTAATATTAGCTATGTAAGAATAATCTATATGGTTATTGAATACTAATATTTTTATTTATTGTATTAAACATTTGTAATTTCCTGCCAATCTTTGTTGCCCTTCCTCAATGGTTTCTAAGCTTTTACCCAGAATCAGAATGTAACCTTGCAGTTATACAGCACGGTGACTTTGCGCCAGGGGGAGAAGAAGCATTACAACAACAAGGTTGATGTCTATAGCTTTGGGATTGTTCTATGGGAATTATTGACCAATCGTATGCCATTTGAAGGCATGTCCAACCTGCAGGCTGCTTATGCTGCCGCTTTTAAGGTGCAGAAGCTTGTTTATCCTTTATTTATTTTTGTTGGCTTTATATTGTTGGTATGGCTCAAGGCATCAGTCTTAATGTCTTTTTGATACCTGAAACTTCATTTTGTTTTTACTAGGAGCATTTGAACCGAGAGTCAACTGATAAATGAAATTTTTCTTGAGGTTCAGTTTGGAAAGAGTGCAAATACAAAATGTACAGTGCAAAGACAAGGTTTAGAAATAGTTAGGGGGATTAGCTGATGGGTAACCATGTAGCTCAAGTGTTAACTAGCAGATTGCAACAACCTGTATTACACATTTACCGAAAATCAGTTTAGGGCTTAAGTGACAGTCCGAAAAGGGTCAATGCAGAATTCCCATTTGATAGATCTGCTCATGCCTTGGTTGAAAATTACCTCACTGGATAATTGCAAGCCTCGTACCAACTTCCTACTATGTGGGTTCCACTACATGATAAGAGGTTGAAAAGAAAATAAAGATGTGTCCTACTACTTCGGTAGTGGCTCCTTCTATGTCTGTCTATATTCAACTTATTTTGTATTATGCCATTATTTTGTTCATTTATCCTTTGTTGTTTTTGATAATTAACTGCTGGTATTCTCTGGGTGCACAGCAAACCAGGCCAAATCTACCTGAAGACTTGCCTCCTGATCTCGCGTTTATCCTACAATCATGTTGGGTTGAGGACCCTAACATTCGCCCGAGTTTCAGCCAGATCATTCGCATGCTAAACGCATTCCTCTTCACACTCTCCCCAGTCTTGCCATCCTCACTGGGCACTGACAGAGTCGAGTCGGCGGCTATGCCAAGTAACGGTATCATCACCAAGTCATCTGCACGTACAAGAGGGAAGTTTTCCTTTCTTCGCCAACTTTTTGCTGCAAGGAGGACGAGGAACTCGGATTGCGTGGGTTAATTTTGAAACAATTCTGAATTTTCAATAAAGAGAAGAGAATCCTGTGATGTTATATATACACATCTCAATTAATATGTATTTAGTTATTGGAATCATAGTTGTTAGCAACAGCCAACAGATGAAAGAAAATGTATTACAAGGAACAGGAAAAGTTAACAAAGGGTTACGGGAGTGTGTTTACTCTAGTCTTCCCTATTAATATTATAAATACAGGAGACATGACTATCTACACAAAATCGTGGTTATATTACTTCAAATTTACACCGCTATCCGTGTTAAATTGTGCTGGTTTGGAAAGAGTATAAATACAAATATGTACAGTATAAAATAAATATAAAATAATACAAAATACAAGATTTTTCACTCTACATTTTGTATTTGTACTCTTTCCAGCGTGAATTTCATTTGCACTAGTTTAAATACATGGGATGCTGGAGTCGTGGTATTTAGCTGCAAAATTGAGGGTTTATCCCAATTGTTTGGAAAGCCTAATATAATGGTTTTGGCATGTTTTTCATTCTATATGTGGATAAGAAATTTTAGAGTTACATAATTTTTTTTTTTTCTTGTGAAAAAGCACCGAGGCCTCAAAGTCATTACCAAGAATTTGACCGCAGCTATTACTTCCATGCTTTTGGTGCTAATTAAAGAAGTTGCATTTCTTCTGTTTGAGCTTTACAGGCACCATAAGCTTAACTTTTTTTTTTACCTCCATGGGCATGGGGTAGCCCATCCCCCAAACCCATAAGCTTAACTGGTATGAACAGCCTTGCATTTAGAAAACATAATTTTGGTTTTTTAAAAAGCATGATTTGTTTTTGGAAATAAAACCATCTTCATTTCACCCTTCAACACAAAAACAAAGTTGGAGAATTAGCTGGGCGTTTGCCCGAGTGGTCAAGGGGGAAGACTAAGAGCAAAACAAAAAGTTAAATTCAAGAAGAGTGGCCAAGGAAGAATTCCAGATCTTTCTTATCCAATTCATGGGGAAGACTTGGTGCCTGTTTGGTAAGTATTTTTCTAATGTGGGCCCTATATATCATTGGTGGACATATACGTAGGGCTCACATACATTTTATAAGGTGGGTCCAACATACCATCGGTGGGCATGCATTAGAGTCCATGTGTGGAGATGTATGTGGGGCCCATATATATTTTACAAGGTGGGTTCGACATACCATTGGTGAACATGCATGTGGGGTCCATGTGTGGACATTTATGTGGGGCCTAGGTATATTTTTCAAGGTGGGCCCTACATACCATTGATGGACATGTAGTGGGGCTCACGTACATTTTACAAGGTAGGCCCAACATACCATTAGTGGACATACATGTGGGGTCCATGTGTGGACATGTATGTGGGGCCCACATGCCATTGGTGGACATGCATATGGATCGGCCCCACATACCATTGGTAGGCCCCATTTACACATTCAAATATATATAAACTTTATTTTAAAGCTTTCTGAAAAAGCCCAAATTCAAGCTGTTGCCTCTTTTATGGACGGGAGCTTTTTCCCAAATAAATCTTTCCATTGAGAAACGGGAAAAGCCCAGAGGCTTGTGGCTTCGAACCATGGCCATCACAATTTATTTTTGAATTTTGACCAAAAAAATGTTTAAAGAATATATTTTTGCTTTTTTTTGGCTGATGTGGCAATGACTCAATGGGGACACGCTGCACGTCCCTGCTCATTACATCTGTTAAAAGACAAAAATATCCCATTATTTTGACTCCTATTCTATTGTAAGCAACGAACTATGGTTTCTTTGTCTTTTCACTAGTATGTGCTCAGTTTATCAAAAACGAGATGTGCCCTAATCACTCTCCCCTTGATTACGCTCCTGATCATTCCCCTGGTTCTTTCCTTTTGTAACTGGCAAGGGTTTGGCCGTTTGGAGTTGTTTGTTACAGGCTAGATTCTTACGTGTATTGAATTGTTTGGTGTTATCTGCGGCTCTTGGCTTTGGCTGATCTCCCAAATTCCCGCTCCTACTTTTTTTTTTTGTTCAGTTCAGATTCTTTTTGGGAGAAGAATCTTAACATTTCACAACTCATTCTCCCTCTCTTGTCGCTCGCCTGCTTTCGCATTCGAAGAGAGAAAGTGAAGCAGAACAATGGTTTATTAGAAGCTTCAACCTAAGTACCTAATCAGGTCAGTTTCGACTGTAATTCGGTTCAACTATCAAAAGCGGTGCTCAATGCTTCTAAAGTCGCTCATTATGGACTAGAAATCGGTTTTGATCCGAGATTTATATTTTGTCGTGATCTTGTTTTTCTCTTTTTATTTCTTTTTCTTTGGTGATTAAACATTTTTTCTTTGGGGTTTGGTGATGACTGATGATTCTGTTTTGGATGATAGTCTTATAGTTTGAAATGCTAATTAATATCAGAGCAGGATGTTTTATTCCATGTGGCTGTCAAACATGCCCCATGTTCATTTTTCCCCCTGTGTATATTGTATCAACTAGAACTATTTGACCAATTCAGTTGTTCCGGAAATTGACCTGGAAGGATTTATTTCGAGATCTTTGGGATTTTGCTCTTCAAATTGAAGCCCAATAATTATTGGTTCATATTTATTTGGCAGTGAATTGATGGATATGGATAGTTCACAAGATTTGTGTAGCCTTGAAGCTAATGGAGATGGGAGGAAGGAGAACTTATCTAATCATTGCTGTTCTTTCTCAACCAACTCAGGATATCGATTATTTGATCGCCAAAGGACAATTCACCAGATAATTGGAGGAGGTAAAGGTATGGTCTAGCTTTTTGGTTAAATTCCAATACTTTTACCTGCTTACTGCTTATTTGTTTATGAAGTGATATTTTAATCTTGTTTTCCCCTGGTATGAGGATACATGCTATTGCAAACTAAAATGAAGCACATGGTGATAAAAAAGGTTAATGACCTGGTTGTGACTTTCATTTCTGATTTTCACCGGGTGGAGTAAACATTCTGCCCTGTTTTTGTGCTTTTAACTTTTGGACAATGTTGCATTATTATCTTATAGCTGCATTCCACAGGCATTTTCTGAGATCCAAAATTAACAGAAAAAGCCAAGTAATAGAACAAAGAGTTTCGAAGGGGATAAAAGGACATAAATTCAATCTTTAAAGGGGCGTCTAAGTGTGGGTTGGCAGGGTGATGGTGGTCCTTTTCAAGAAGTCTTCTTTTTAACTCTGTAGTTGGTACCCCTCTGTCACTCCCCCAATCTTGCTATGATTTTATTTAAGTTTAAATTAATAGGAAGAAATAAGTTATGGTGACCAATATGCATTATTGTCAGAATGCTTATTATCATATGTCTTGAAAGCATTTTGGTAGCCCTGTAAATATTTGTTGAAAAGATAAAAGAAGAGCATGCCAATGGAAAACAAACCCAACTTGATGTCCATTTTTCATTCTACTAGGACAGGTGCACGACTTTCTATTTTCTGTCTGAAGCAAAAATATTTGAAACCAAAGTATATATGGGAATCTATATGGTCTTATAATGAGACCCAAACTAGCATGCCAAAGTAGGACTGGAGATTTACCAAGCTAGTCTGTGCAAAACACAGGATATAAGTGGTATCTGGCACAGTTTCGGTGGCTACTGGCCCTCAGGTGCATGGCCAACTTAACCCTAAGGCAGATCTGGGCCTGGACAGCAGGCTTACAAGCCTTCTGGGCTAGGACACAATAAGGATCTACTTTATAATCAATAATGTCATAACTTATAATTATATAGGGTTATACATAAATATTTATGTAATTTATAAATTTTTACAATGGAAAGTGTTGTATTCCAACATGTAGTATTAATTGATGAAACTAGAGAGCGATTAAATCTAAAATTAGATTGATGGACAAAATGATAAATGGCTTAGAAACAAGATGTTTTAAAATATAGAGCTAAAATTGAATATGTGCAATGTAAAATTGATAATAATAGGAAACAAAATCAGGATACACTTAGGATTGGTGACCAAGATATCTCAATGTAACCTCTTTTGTTACTTTGGTTTGATATTCCATGACAGGGAGTAGATTGTTGTGCAGCCAAGAAACATGTTCAAAAAATGAGTGGGGCAAAAATGTGAAAGTTGAGATGTAGAGCAGGGAAACTAGAAATGATAGGATTAGAACTGAACTTATTTAAAGAAACTTAGATTTTGGGGTTTTCCCTTCCCTCTTTTCTCTTTCTAGTCTCAAGGGAAAACCTATTAGTGATTTTATCAGTTCACCCTCTTCCCTTTCAAACCTGAGTTGGAATCTGGGTCTTACTAGAAATCTGAGAGAATCTGAATTTTCCAGTGTCTCTGTTTTGGTTAACTTGTTGAATTCAGTGGTCTTGGGGGATGGTGGTTTAGATTCTAGAGTGTGGGTACTCAATCAGTCAAGGTCCTTCTCTTGCAAATCCTTTTTGAATTCTCTTGTTGTTACCTCCTCTCTTTCTTTCCCTGTCAAGGAGATTTGGTTTCAGCCCATCCCTCTCATAGGTATCAAGGTGACGCCTAGGTGACAAGGCACCCTTGGAGGCTCGCCTCACCCAATTGCCAAGCAGTTTGTGTACTGTGTTATAAAATACTTTTATATTTTTAATTTTTTGACATTATAATTATGAAATAGACATTATTAAACTAGAATATTCATTTTATGTGTTTATATATCAATTTCTTTTTTATTATTTTCTTATTTGCTAGGGTTTAATCAACACAAGCATTGCTGTTGTATTGAACCCATGGTTCAAAGTATCGATACACCTCTGTGCATCAGCGGAGGTGTATTGGTACTTATAATGATACTCCCCCTATTCTTTTATTATTTTATCGGTTTTCAATTTCATTTTTAAATATAATGGGTTCCCGAAAACACCTATAAACAGGTATATCGGGACCCCAAAGATACAATACAATATGCTTGATACGGGGCGTAACATATCGAAATTTTGATCCTTGATTGAACCCTCAAAGATTTCAAAACCTGAACCAATAAGCAAGGGAAGAACTTAAAATTTTGTCTAATTAACACATTTTCTTCTTCCACATCTTCTTCTTCTTCTTCCACCTTTTCTTTTCTTGTTTTCCTATAACAAAAGTAGGGGCTCAACCCCTATATTTTTTGAATTTTCTTTCCTTCTTTTTCTTCTCATAAAATGTTGATTTTTCTAGACTTAAACATGAAATTTATACTTCTCTTATGAAAATTATGAATAATTATCAAGGAAAGATGGTTATGGATCCTAGGGAACTACTCTAGGATATATGGTTTTGCTTAAAAAAAAATCCATTGCCTAGGCGTTGCCTAGGTGTCTGACTAGGCGACAAGGAGCCCCCCTGTCGCCTAGCCTTGCCTTGGTGCCTTGAAAACTATGATTCCTCCTAAAGTTGGTGCTTTTCTGTTGGGAAATGTTCCATGGCTCCATTAATACCTGTAATCAGCTTCAAAGGAAAGGACCAAATTGGTGCTCCTTATGTAAGCTGCATGGTGAGACTGCCTTTCATCTTTTAATCTCCTATCCTTTTGCTAACTATATTTGGGAGTGGTTTTCCTCTCTGTTTGGCTGTAGTTGGATTCCCCTTGACAATCTGGAAGGCTTCTTTAGTTCTCACATTTTCAGGCGTTTTAAAAGAAGAGGCAGGATTATGGGAAGATGGACTAGAGCAGCAGTGGCTTGGACAAATTGGGAAGAAAGAAATCTAATGATTTTTTATGAGAAGGAAAGAAGCAAAGAAACTGTGACCAAAGTGATAACTTTAAGGGTGGCACATTGGTTTAAAACCTTAAAAGCTGTTTGCTGATTTTAAGGTTGAAGATTTCTCCAGATCATGGGGAACAATTGCTAACATTGCATTTAGAAGACCTCTAGTACATGAGGTTTGGTCTCCTCCAGCTCACCTGTTGGGTGGATGGAAATTAAATTTTGATGGCAGCTGTTTGGGAAATCCTGGCCCATCCGGTATTGGTGGGGTAATAAGGGAAGCAAATGGAAATATTTTAGCCATGTACTCAGGTCTTGTTCAACATGGTGATGTGGTGAGATCAGAACTGATGGCAGCAGTATATGGAGTAGAAAAAGCTAAAGAAATGGGGATTCCCAGGCTGATTATTGAAGGGGATTCAAAAAATGTTGTGAATTGACTGAAGAAGGGGGAAGGAGTAATGTGGAAGCTAAGGAATGGGCTCAGGTGCTTCAAGCAGATATCTAAAGACATGTTGATTCAAATAAGGGGGAGTAGGAGATCAGCTAATAGCATAGCTGATGGTCTAGCGAAACAAGGAATTCAAAAACAATCTATGCTCTGGTCTGTTTGTAATTAGTGGGATAATTTATTTTGGGATTCTTGTTTTCTGCCCACAACTTCTTGTTCTATATGCTTTTTTAATCTAATGAATCAATTTTGAGTTGCTGATAAAAAAGAAGGTTGCAAGGCCAACAATGCTGTATGGAGTAGACTGTTGGGCAGTCAAGAAACATATCCAAAAAATGAGTGGCAGAAATGCATATATTGTGATGGATGAGAGGAAACTTTAGAAAGGATAGGGTCAGAAATGAAGTCATTCAAATGAAACTAGGTGTAGCTCCATAAAGAAACATGCCCAAAAACATGAGTGGCAGAAGTGCATATATTGTGATGGACGAGTGGAAACACTAGAAAGGATAGGGTCAGAAATGAAGTCATTCAAAGGAAGCTAGGTGTAGCTCCAATAGGTGATACAATAAGGGAAAGTAGACCTAGACAGTTCAATCATGTGCATAGAAGATCACCTACAACACCTGTAAGAAAAAGTGATTAGTTACAAGTTGAAGTGGCTAGAAGGGCTAGGGGCAGACCAAAAAGGACATGGATCAAAATAGCAAGAAATGACTTAAGTGCTCATAATTTAACAATGTATATTGGCATTAAACAGAATGGAATGGTGAAACAGGATTCATGTAGTTTTTTTGAGAAAAGGGTAACTTTCATTAACAAAATAGGGGAAGGATATACAGGATGTAAAAGAGATATATCTTTTCAGTAACACTCAAAATAAACAAAAACCAAAAACCTTCCCTACCCATTAAAGTGGAAGCTCTATATTTCTGTATAAAAGTCCCTTCCCACCCCGGATTTAGCAAGAGCATCTGCTACTGAGTTCAAATTTCTTGGAATCCACCTGAATACACAGTGTAGCTGTGATTGGATAACCCTGGTTTCATTGAGCTGATGAGAGAATCTCCAAGGCCCCTCCTGGTGGTTTAGCATCTAACTAATTACCACCTTTGAATCTCATTCCACCACCACTGAAGAAATATTGAGGGATTTTTCGCACCTCAACCCCACCAGAAAGGCCTGCACCTTGGCTTCAACAGCTTCAGCCTCCTCTATTGGGTCCACTATAGGCCCAGACTTGAGTGCCTAAGGAGGTGAGAATTCTGCCACCTATTCCTGCCTGACCTTTGTGGTTAAGTCTGCTTAGACAACTGTCATCAAACTGGAGAATGAAGTCAGTAGGGGGTCTGTGGTCCACAGGAGCTGGGTGAATTCTTTCAAAACTTGAAGAACTCAGAACCAGCCCCAAGTTTTTTTCTAAGTCTCCCATTGAAATGTCTCTGAACATACTAGAAACCTTCACCCAGGAATCAATTTGAAAGAGCCCTTCCTTTTAACTCATCCAAGGAAGAATACTTATCTTCAAAGATTCTTTTGTTGCGCTCCTCCCAAATGCACCAGCGGACTGCATGGTGATAGCCTTCCCATAAAGAACACCTCTTTTACTCAAGGTACAC